TGGTGGCGCCGCCGGCCGCATCCCAACGAGGGACAGTGGCGGCAGCCCCCGCAGTCCGGGTCCCAAGCGCAGGATCGCTCTGGAAGGCTTGACACGGACGCGTGAAGGATGACCAGGGGGCTGCGTCTCTGTGAACGCGCCTGGCGCGGCCAGCATCCACTTCTCCCTGGCCCAGCGTTCCTAAAACGCAGTCTGAAAATTCACATGCAAGAGCCTTTTAGGAGAAAGGAAAATGGGGTTCAGGCCGACATTAGGAAGATGTTTTTCGTCTGTTAGGGACACTTCCTGAAGTACCCTTTATGCAGAGGAACTTTTATTCTCATTTCCTGACCCTTCACTCCTTCCTCCCCATTTTGAATTGTTTTTCTTGCTCTCTCGGTACTCTTCCTGAAAAACACCCCCGTGTGCCTGGTTTAAACAGAATTACAAAAACACCTCTAGTCTTATTAAAAGAATACCTGCTTGAAAGATGGGCCTAGCCACCCAAGGACCTAGGTTTGTCCCTTCTCAGAAGTTGAAGAGCCAACCCTGCTTCAAAAACAACAAAAAAACAACTTAAAAATACTGCAACTGTGATGTTTAGAGTTCCCTTTGGGGTACAATAATGTAACTGCAAATATTTGAGGAAACAATTTAACCCAGATTTGGATTTTTATGATTCACACATCTGCAGATTTCTAGAGTAAATCATTTGTTTTTACACCTTCCCCACATTTTTAGACAATGTGCAACTACAGGAATCATTTTAGCAAATATGACTAAAAAAATTTAAGGTGAAAGTATATTTGTGCCTGATGGATATGGGGTCCAAATCCCTCCGATTTGGTGTTTAAATTAACCCATTTTTCGAAAGTGTAGGTTATAACCAGAATGTTTAGCAATTGAGGAATTTGTGTCTGAGACCAGTTTAAGTTGAATACCTACCTAAATGACTGTGGAACATATATCAATTTAAGGACCCATATGTTGGAATATTTTGTATAAGATTTGTAGATTCGATGGTCTGAACAACTGCTCTAATTCCTCAGAACATTTCGCATGTGTAAATACAGAATTTAGAGAAGTCACCAAGTTACTTTCATTTTCAATCCTGCAAATGTGTGATCAGTCTAGACTTATGTAAGGATTTCTGGTTCTGATACACTCATGTCCCAGAAGGTTTATTGTAACTAATGGAGACTGACATTCTTATTTATATGAAAATAGGGCTTTCTCCGGTCCACTTCTAAAGCTTTGTCCACCCATATAGAACTAAGTAGAAAACAGTGACTTACCAAGTACATTAGCACCCACATAAAACATCGTCTGAGTTGTAGGCCTAAATTAACAAGATATTTACCACTTCACATGGTATTTGTGTAAACCGGACCAGAATGCCAGGTCAAACAGCTCAACCTTAGTAAAGCACACTACAGTTTGACTCAATGACTAGCTATGGAAGTTTTCTTTATTGATTGCTTAATGTGTAACAATAATTGGCATCTTTTTCACACATTACAAAAAATTATACTTGGCTCAGTATGCAACCTTTTTAAGCATAGCCATATTATTTAACAGAAGAGAGGAAAAACCTATTCTACCCAATACAGCATTTACAAATGCACAAAACATGCCACTTTGGCTTGTATATTGTCTAGATTAAAAAAAAAAATCTCTTTTAACATAAATAAGTTAGTATAATTTTTCAGTGTCTTTACATAGTTATGTACACAGGTACACTTCAAATGGTTTTGTTTCATACACATACACAGGAAATGAAGAAATACTGTTTAAAGATGTAGTATCCATTGACTTATTCCAAGTGTGTTTTTCTCTACATGCACCTCTCTTTAAAAACACCAACTTTCTTTGGGCAAATTACAAAAAGAATAAGAAACTTTAAAAATGATTTCATTTTTAGTTCTGGTGTGGGCAAAAAAAAAAAAAAAAATTCATTTTTTATGTGAAGTTATTTTCTGCTCCTTAAAAATATTCAGAGATTTTGAATGATTTTAACTGTGTCTCCACAGCCCAGAGTGAAACAAAAATTAAGAAATTTTTCCAAGAAACTTGATAAATATAGATGGTGAATTCTGAGCATCAAAACTCCCAATACACCTCACATTTTTGCCCAGAATTATCTGGGGGTTGATAATGGAACTACTGAATAATGAACTGGTAAATTCTAACTTGAAGGAGATTGGAGGAGCACAGAAAATGATAAGTTTTTTGGTTTTTTTTTGTTTTTTTTTTTTTTTGCTTTAAAAAAAAAAAATGCTGCTATATAACAGAATAACCAGAGCTCCCAAATGAGAATAAACTTCATACAAAAATAAACAGCAACTGTTTGTAGCCAATGTTCAAATTCTCATGATTTTTAAATCTGATGCTTTTTTAAATGAAGTTATCAGTTGTTACTGAAAGGGACATTACATCTTTAAAGAAAACAATTCAAACCCTTCCCCCAAATTGCTTCTCTCCATGCAAGTCAAATATTTTCCTCCTTGCGATAAATCGAAGCAAATGCTCCATACCCCCCATGCCAATTCCTCGGCCCCGCCCTCCCCTCCTTTCCCCAAGGTTTATGTGCTACATAAAAGGTAAAAACTATGTACACAGGTAGTACAATGAAGCAAATAAGGAAAAACCTAATTGCACAATGCTACATCCGATGCTTTTAGAGGCAGATTTAAGAGTGCCTAACATTTTAGTGTTATTGTGTTGTTGCTTTTCAGTGCTTATACAGGATGTCCATTCCATGGAGTCAGCGATATGTATTTAAAATCTTTCATGTCTCTCTTCCTTGCTTCATCAAGCCGTGATGTATCTCATAAACAAGGAAACATTCTTAATTCTGTAAAAGAAACAAGAAAGAATTAGGGGAAAGGAGCTGGAGTGCCATTGCCAGTACACACAGGGATTATTTTTGTCACTACCTTAGTTGGGAAATACCTGAGTGACAGAAAAGAAATTAAAAAAAAAAAAAAAAAAAAAGGATGTACTACATTTGATGACGGCCGTCATCCCCATCTAACCTTCTCTGAACTGGATTTTTACTCTCCTCTGTCTTACGTTCTTTTGTCTAGAGCAGTGGCTCTTAACAGTGAGCAATTTTGCTTTCCCCTCTCCCCCAGGAGACATCTGACAATGGAGACCTTTTTGATTGTCACAACTGGGGGAGGGAGGCTGCTACTGGTATGTGGTGGGAGAAGCCGGAGCTAACGCCAACCCTTAGACAAAGCACAGGACTGCCTCTCACAATGAAGAATTATTTGGCCCAAAATGTCAATTGTGCAGAGGTTGAGAAACCCTAGTCTAAAAATCTGGGTCAAAGATGGTGAGACAGAAAAGAAATAATAAAATTAAACTGTAAATATAACCGGAAACTGAAAAAGAAGTGGAAATACAACTTATAAAGGCCCTCCCAAGGAAACTTCTTTTAACACCTTATTCTCGCACAACTTTCTCATTTCTTACTCATGCAGAATAGACACACGAAGGCTTCTGAACAGGTCCTTACTGCTATTTCTAGTATTTTCTGAACTGGCAATATTATGAGTAAATGCCTCTTTGCAAGACCAATACACAGTAGGTCTGATTCACGTGGCTCATCAAATGAGCAAGATCCCAAGCCAAAAACTAATGAGAGGGGCCGGCAGGTGGCGTGGTGGTTAAGGGCGCTGGACTCCCACATGACCCACCAAGGTTTGAGCCTGGACCTGGCAGTTTGATTTCTCACTCCCCCCCAACTCTCTGGTCAAATTAAAATAAATAAAGTTAAATAAAATAATTCTTTTTTTAAAAAAATGAGAACTGCAGGTGTTAAATAAAATAATTCTTAAAAAAAAAATGAGAACTGCAGGTTAAATGGCTTCAGGAAAATGTTTCATCCAACTTCTCCACTTCACAGAGAGCTATGATACAGAGGTTCTAAAGTGCTGTTTTATATACACTCTGAGAAATATCGCATATATGTGAAAAAGTCATATATATGATGTTTTGGTTTAAAAACACAATAAAACTGAATCCCACCTTAATACCCATGTTTATTTTTAAATTTTTATAAATGATTTAAAATATCAATGTAGACATTTCTTTTTTTTTTTTTTTTAACATTCATTTATTTATCTACTTATTAACTGTGATTTTCGAACCACCAGGCCTGGGACTTGAACCATGATTGGCCATGTGGGAGTCCAGTGCCTTAACCACCATGGTATTTACTGGCCCCCACGCAGTCATTTCTTACAATCTCTTCACATGCTATGGTATGCATAGGATTAGGAAAAAACTAAAAAGAGACCAGAGTCCTGTCTATAAAAGTTTAAAAGTATTAATATGTGAAGTTTGATCAGTATGGATCGCCGATCCATGAACACTGGAGGGGCAGGCCGAGTTACTCAGATTAGCTCTCATGTGCTGAGATTTGAGCACATGAGAAAATTTCCACTTCCCTTGAGCTAGGTAGCCTCCCCTGGCCAGTCCTGACTCCGTCCACCCATTCCCTCTACACATCCCCAGATCAGCCTGTTACGGTGTGATTAGCATACACCAGCTGACGTGTTCCTGGACTGCTTACCCAGGCAGCCCTCATTTAACTTCTGTTTTGCAACTTTGGTGATGCCAGAAATTTTATAGCAAGTTCAGTATTGTTTGCTCTTTCCGTTTTAGTTTTCTTAAATAGGCTGGTTCCTTCTGTCTTCCCCCCAAATTACCAGAAAACAGAGAAAGTGATAGTTTATGAAAACGATAAAGAATACCTCATACTATCCTCCTCACACGGCTTGCATAGCTGAATGTGAGCTGTCTGTGCCTAATTTTCCCCTCCACATTTAAACGTAATCATCTATTTACGATTTTGCCATGCACGGCTCAAAACGTGTTACTGACTCAACCTGCACCTCTGGGAAGGAAATTCTCAGGAAGTGGGATGGAGGAAGACCCTACGTAGTTCTTGTTCAGAGGGAGGAAAAAACCTCTCCTTTCCAACCTGTTTTGTGGGACTGGGGGAAAAGACCTTCCCAGGGAGAGGCCTTCCCTGGTTACCATTACCTGCCTGGGACACCTGTTCTAATTGGTTAGTGTGTCAGAGAAAAGGATCTCAAGACTTGGAGACTTTGAAGAATTACACTGTCACCCCAGTGAGTCCCAACTTTCCCCACTGGTGTTTTGACCTGGCATGATATAAACCAAACCAACCCCCCCATCTGCCGGTAACACGGGGTACCGTGGGCCTCCAGACCTCAGGAGGTCCTGTGGCCCAGCTCGGGGTCGCCAGTTCTGTGCTCCCAGAGATCGACCCACCGAGCAATTTACGTCTGACGTCTTCGGAGGCCCGGCTTCTTGGGCGTCTGCTCCACAGCAGCGGCGGCAGCGTTCGGGGAACCGTCTGAAACGTTCTCTTCTGTTCTGTTGGCTCTTTTGTTTTGAGGAGAAGAATCTAAGGGCAAGGGGAAAGGCAAAAAAGAACACCCACAATCTTTATTAGCAAAAACAATGGCTGACAGAAGTTGGCCCAACAGTCGGGATGAAAAACCCACCACCTCCACCCACCATCCAGGACCCGTCAATCCCCCCCGCCCCACCCCC